CGCTGGGCTAAGAAGCCACTAGACTCTGACCAGCTGTTACCCACTATTTCTCGGTGCTACTTCTACCTGGCCTTTGAGAACTCGGTGTATAGAGACTACATAACAGAGAAGCTGTGGAACAATGCCTTGCTGGCTGGCAGTGTGCCGGTTGTGCTGGGCCCACCCCGAGCTAACTACGAGGCCTTCATTCCCAAAGACTCCTTCATCCATGTGGACGACTTCAACTCCATTAAAGAACTGGCTGATTTCTTGAACCAGCTGGCCTCAGACAAAGAGCGATACGAGTCATATTTCCGTTGGAGACGTGACTATGATGTTCAAAAATGGCCTGGCTGGAGGGACATACTCTGCAGAATTTGTGGTCTCTATGAGCATCTGCCTTCCACCAAGGTCTACCACAACCTGGAGGCCTGGGCCAACGGAGAGCCATGATAATAGGCTTTACCATGTGAAAAAACTGCTGACTGAAGACTGCATTCCTATAAGCACAGAAATATTTTAAAGAATAAATGACTTTTACTAGTCATTATATTTCATGCCATACATGATTTTCACTCAACTGAAATTTTAATGCTTTACAGATACCTTTATTCTCTAGAGATACAGAGAGATGGAGTGAGAATGAGAGAGAGAGCACCCTCAGGGAGAAGAGATGCTCTCTGCACCTTGGGTACATTTATTCTGCTGCCTGAGCACAGTTTCTGTTTCAGGGTGTCATTTTTGTTTTACATTTTTAAATAGCGAATACGTGAGCCCATCTGAGTGCCCGTGAGCGTGTCGGCCTTAAAATGAAGAAGCATAAGGTCCATTGCTGGCACATTGCTGATTCAAAGGCAGTGGAAAATGACCGACAAATACCTGGAGGGTATTCTGCGTACGTGGATTAACAAGTTATCTGGGTTTAATTGTTCATGACTTGACAACGTCCCTGATTTTTCAGTTCTTTGAAATTCTTGATGAACTGGTCACAGCAACCGATCCGTAAACTCAAACATGCTCAGAGCAGGGGCTTGTTTCATGAATCAAGATTTATTCTTTAGTCAGATAATTTGCTGGATTCAAAGTATAAAGGTAGTTAAACAGAGCTGTGTCACTCAGGAAACCCATTCAGCCATGGCTGCACCTTTCTTACGGAACCCGGTGTAATCGGGGTGATCACATTCGGAATTTAGAGCGCTTTTTTCTGTTGAAAACAGACGGATACAGAGCCCCTAATAGTTCAGGGTGGGAAAATGTTTTTTGAAGTTTTTCGTTACTTATAATAACTGTACTATGTCCAAATTAATGGACTAATTAGTATAAACCTAAACGATACAGGCATGTCATGTAAAGTGTGCTTTAAGCATTAAACTATGGAGAACAGTGCACACCATGCCACTTTAATATGTTTGTCTAATACATATTTATTAATAACTACACTGTGCCCATTCACCATCAGTGACTGTAAACCAAACAGCTGGGCCATTGAATGTGATGTGCACACACACAAACATTGAAATATGAATTAAAACTCACCTGTATAGGAATCTGGAAAACCAAGGGGTGTCGCTTGTTTTTGTTGAAAGATATTACAGCCAGAAAACTGAATGTAGGCCTAAAGCTAACTGTACTGAGGTGTCATAGTTACGGTTAAAACCTGAAATGTGGATCTATGCTGAAATATTCCAGAAAGTGGATTCAAGTTCAAACTTTAACTATGACGGCGCAGTAAAGTTAGCTTTATATGCAGTAAAGTTAGCTTTATATGCAGTAAAGTTAGCTTTATATGCAGTTTGCCAGCTGTGGTATCTTTCCGTGTTTGTAATATATTTCAGTGGTTGTACAGTATGTGTGCATTTCACATTCAATGGCCCAGCTGTCTTACTTAAAGTCACTGGCGGTGAACAGACACAGTGCAGTTATTAATAAATACGTCTAAAACGCATGATATTAAAGTTATACGGTGTACACTGTCTCCCATAGTGTAACGCTTAAAGCACACTTTACAGGACATGTCTATTATTTAGGTTCATCCATGCCATCACATTATTGCGAGGGAATATGAAACTATTTTGTGGGAATGCAAAACTACTTCAAAAACTATTTTCCCACACTGACCTCCTACGAGCTCCATACTTACACAAACAATTTAATACCAGGGGCACATGAACAAGAAAAAAATGCAATAAACACCAAAGTCCATCAACTAAACATTAATCCTTGGATAAAATAAAAGAGTTACACAAATGAATAATTTTTTTCCAAATGAAAACTGTCATGAAGTAACCATTTAAGTATCTACACTTCATCAATGCTAATTCCTATTTGTATATCACAGGTATGATTAGTAGTAATACACATTGCTTTTAGCAAGCAAGTCCATCCTTTCAATATTGTTAGTACACCCAGGGGGGGTTGGGCAACCAGTTGACCTTGGACCCCCAGAGGTTTTTTTTTCCTCCCTACTTGGGATTTTTTGGTTCCTCTCCTCCATTGTCTTCTTTTTTTCTTTCTTTCTTTCTTTCTG